CAAGCGCCAGGCCAGCCACAAGTGGCGCTGAACAAGCGCCACTGGTGTAGACCTCAGATGCCAGAACAGCGCATCACTTTCCAGTCGGGAGCCTCATTGGGTTGGAATGATGGCTGGAAGGGGTAGCGCTAACAGCACTCTCTTTGAAACAGTGTTGAGTGACACCAGGGCTTCTTCAGCACACGGACATGAGCTGGGCATGTTTTCAACACCATCCATTTTGAAAAACATGCCAACCAAACAACATCAAACAACAGAGGTATGATAAGCATGAGGCCTGAAATCAATCTATAGTCAAAAGTCGCGCATGAACTGTGAACGACGCAGTTTAAGAAAATAGGGCGCCAACTCCCCTGAGAAATGGGTATCATACCCCTTGTTACTACACCACATGTGGACTCGATATCGCAAGCCTTGCTCAAATCCACACCTCTGGATAAAACCATGAATATTTTGGCGCTTGTTCAGCACCGTCCAAATCCATGTTGGCCCCTTTGGACCTGGGAATATGATCAATCTATTCAATCCTACCCTGGAAAACGGAAAAATGGACCCCTTCTTAAAATAGAGAGCGCGAGCCGCCTTTTGACCCAAAAGGCGGCTCGATAGCAATTTGTTTACTTGACGCAACGGCGTCCAAAAGTTGACGCGTTTGCACCCTCTCAGGTTTCCAAAAATCTCATCAACCCCTCCACTTGACATTGAACCGACGGCGTCCAAACGATTAACGCCCGCAGTCAGGCACCGACTGTTTGGCATTGCAGTGCAGTTGGAGAAGAAGGTCCTGAGCGGGACGTTAAACCAGCGAGGGTGATGTGATGTGATTCTCTGGTGTCATTAACTTCAGGTTATTGTTTTATAAGTTACATGGTGTGCTGAAGAAGCGCGCCCCTTCTGAGTTGCAATGGCGCTGAAGAAGCGCTGCTCCCTTCTGAGTTGCATCGGCCATTTGCGCCGCAGCTTCCTGCTCCGGGCTGCCTGCGCTCGTTCATCATTTCGCAGGTTGCAATGGCAGATCTTCCTGGCGTGGCCTTGGTCCTACGTTCTGCTTGGGCTGGCAAGGTTTTGCGTGGGACGAAGACCTTGGAACTTCGAGGGTCCACAACCAAGAAGAGATGCACCGTGGCTGTTGCGGTATCTGGGACCCAGCCCTTGGCAGGACAAGTTCGAATCACGGACTCCTTCCTCATGGCTGTCCGCAATCCTCAAACTGGCAGGTATGATGACGTGCCGCCCTACAGCCTCCGAGGAATGAAGGACGTGCATCAGGTTGAAGATCCTGACAAACTCCTTCCCTATGACAAGGTGTGGGGATGGAAGCTGGAAAACCCAGTGATCTACAAGGAGCCCCGCCCGTATGAGCACACCAAAGGCTGTGTGGGCTGGGTTCGGCTGCCAGGCTCACCTGATGCCAAAAAGGCACCTCCAAAGGCTTCGAAGAAGACTAAGAGGCCACGCAACGGACGCAAGTAGCAGTTCGCCATATCATTTGGCATTGGGGAAGACAGCGGGCTGCAGTCGGGGAAAACAGTGCCCCATTCATCGCTGCTGCAATTTGCAAGTATATATATTTTTGATGAGTGTGCTGATCTGTCAAGCGCCAGTATTACTATATTCTATATATATGTTTTTCTTTGATGAGTGTGCCAACATCCATCCCATCCACCCGTGCATCCATGCCTGCTGAACGGTGCCAGGTGATTGGGGCAGGTGATTGGGGCAATCCGGGTGGGACCGCGCTCGCCTCAGTCAAATTCATTTGTCAGTGCTGGGATTTGTCAGTGTTTTTCTATGCATGCCTGGCGCTGGAAAAGCGCCAGATTTTTATCCATATAATATTCTTGGTGCTGGAAAAGCGCCAGATTTTTATCCATATAATATTCTTGGTGCTGAAAAAGCGCCAGGGTTGAGTTTTTTGGGGGGAATGGGTGCTGACTGCATGAGCAAGCGCCAGGAGGATTGTCATGTTGTTGTCGTGATGTCAATAATGAGCTCGTCGTTCCAGAAGATCGGGCTCGACGTTTGAGAGACTGAAGGAGGGGACTCGGTGATAGTGATTGCCATGGCACATCCCTGCCTCCTTTTTAAGTGGAAGCATCTTAATACCGACCGCAACGACGAGTGGCTTTTGCTCGACCTCCTCTTGAAAAGCTGCGCCTTCAGGAGGCGCACGAGGAAGCAGAAGAAGTTTCTAGATGATATTTTTGATGATATTTTTGTAACACGAATGTTTGATGATATTTTTGATGTATTTCATCTCGTCGTTGTCGAGGGGGGTGATTTCACTGGGGGCTGGGGAGAAGATTTTGGATCGCCGAGGGTGGCCTGGTCGCCTGCCCACGGGCACTTTGTGGCGCAGATCGACACGCCGCTTTCCACTGCACAGGCCCAGGCCACTCCGAATGGGCGAAGGACCACACCTTCAGTGGCACCATCGGCAGTGGCCGCCTCACCGATGGTGTCCGCGTCCTGACCTTCAGCGGGGCATACTATGTCACCCTGGAGCACTTGGAGGATGAGTCTGACTGGGTCCACGTCGAGCCGCTGGAATGGCAAACCCTGATTATCAATCACAACAAATGTCCGCGAGAGCTGGCCTCGACCCCAGCAGAACCTCAGGAGCTGGCTTTGACGCCGGCGGAGGCAGCCCTGATAGGACCCGCCGATGAGAACCAGATGCCGCCGGAGGCTGCTTTGATCCCGCCAGAGGGGGGACCTGGTGATGATGACGAGCCGCAGCTGGCTTTGAGGCCGGAGGCTGATGAGCAGCCGCAGCTGGCTTTGACATTGAACCCGGAGGCTGATGAGCTGGCCTTTGCTTTGATGCCACTGCAGGCGCAACCTGATGACACTACTCACACGCCCGACGACGAGCAGGAGCCTGCCACTGCTGAGCCCTTCAATGGCTTCGTAGTTGTTGACTTTTGATTTTGATGGCCGGTGCAGTTGACAAATCGTCACGACATCGCTTGGCCGCTGCAGTTGACAAAACGTCACGATGCGGCTACCCAATAAGAGCTGTTTTGGGCTGTCAGCCCCGCCGCCATGGGACACGTTGGTCTCTGACTGGCCAGCTGACTGGCGGACGCTCGAAAAACACGTCTCAACCCTGGACCCTTGCACTGTTGTAGCGGGGGGGTCCAGGGTTCGGTCGTGTTTTGTAAGTCTAATTTCTGATGTGACATTTGGGGAATGTCGTGGTGATGAGGCTGAGACTTCCACTGCGCGGGCTGGGCAGGCGCTGGGACCACATGTTTCTTGGTGGTGGGAATGTGTGGGGCGGTGCTGGGGAAGCGCCCTTATTAGAATTAGAAGGTGTGGTAGTATTTTATTGTCTGAGCTGGTGCTGGAGAAGCGCCCTTGAAGGAAGGTGTTGGAATATTATTTTAGTATTGTCT